AGGGGACAGGCCCTTCCAGAGGGACCGTAGCACCCGCTGCACTCTGTCAGCTCCAGGCCCTGGGTTTGCTTGCACCGTGGACAGGAAAGCTGCCGGCCTGACCCCCACTCACGGCCTGCCCCTGAGAAGTGGCCAGGTTCCCCCCCAACAGCGGGGGCTCCCCCACATGTGACGGTCCCAAAGGACAGGTGGGGACTCCGTGACGGTTGATCCGATGCCAGGCCGCAGTGCCTGTTTCTTGTGGAAGTGACAGTGGAGGCGTCACTGTGAAGGCGTTTTGCGTGAATGCGGATGAGCCGCCACATGGGGGTGGGCCTCGTCCCATCCGTAGAAGGCTTATGAGGAAAACCGAGGTCTCCCAGGAAGAGGGAATTTGGCTTCCAGGCTGCCTTTGGATGGACTCAAGCCTGCACATCAGCTCCATGCTGGGCCGATGCCACCCTGCTCTGCAGATTTCGAACTTGCCAGCCTCCCCAATCCCATAAAATAACCTTCCCCGCCTCCCTGGGACACACACGTCTTGCGGGCTCCTTCTCTGGAGAGCACTGACGAACACACAGTTTGTGATGACCAGTCGCTGCAGTGGTCCTCAGGACCTTCCCGCTGTGCCCCCCACCCCACTTTCCCTAGCTCCACCCACGGGGCCCCCAGCCCGCCTCAGACCGCCCCCTCTCCTGGCCATCCCCCAGCGTGTCTGCCTCGAGCCAGCCCGAGACAGCCCCCTGAATTCCCAGGAGAAACCTTTTTGCCACCAGCCTTGCTGAAGTTGGGCCCTGCACCCCAGCCACTGCGTGCAGAAGACCGGGCTCCAACAGGGACACTCAGGGGCCTGCAGGGGCCGGGCCGGGAGCCCAGAACAGCAGGAGACCTGCGGGGCACGGCGCGGCCTGCGAGGAAGCCTGCCCACACGGAGCTTCGAAATGCAGTGAAAACTCGCTCCTTTGAGGATGAAACATCTCGACAGGACCCCCCCCCCCAGGGCCACTGCCTGGGAGGGAGGCGGGCAGCCCACTCAGGGAGCGTTTCCAGAAAAAAGACCTGGTGCACAGGAGCCTTGGGGCAGGGGGGCGGCGCCTGTCCAGTGCTGAGGTCCTTTGCTCAGGCCCCATCACAACTCACCTCCGATGCCAGTGCTTGTCCCGCCACCTGCCTGCCTCCCGGGACGACCGTGACCCTACAGCCCCAGGAGGACGCCCCTTTTAAAAGATCCCTGTGCCCACTCCACGTTCAGGGCAGGGCCCCTTCTCACTGCAGCCCAAGCCGGGAGCCTCGGTCCCTGGCCAGGGCCTGGGCTGGAGCCTCAGGCCAGCCCTGAGCACAACTGCCAGGTCGGCCAGATTACCTTACAGGCGCCCTGTTCATCAGAATCTCCAATAGTCATTGAGTTCTTCTTAGTATTGGGGTGTCTGGTCTCCCAAGGGGTCCCCACTGCCTGGCCCCACTCCACCGGGGCCAGGATCTCAGTGGCTCCGGAAGTTTTCTCTCGGACTGAGCTGGTCAAAAACTCTCACACATCAGCTGAAGAAAGGAATGATTTGTGGGGTTTGGATATTTTAGCTTTGAAGCCTGCCTTGTGCCTTCGCAGGCCAAAGGTACTTGGGGCTTCCAGCCCAGCCTGCCGGTTCGAGGGAATGGCGCCCCCTGGAGCCCACTGCTGGGACGCCGGCCCTGGTCGGATCCGAAGGGTCCCGGGTCCTGACGCCGTGGCATTGGTTCCAGTCTTTCAGAGCTGCCCGCACCTAACGTGACAGCTTCTAGCACGTCACCTCGTCACCTCGAGGGGGCCTCTACCGGGTAGAGGCCAAACTTGATTTTCATCCCCAAACTCGCTCATGTTCATTACGTTTCATGATTTTTAATTAAATCGTCTCCTTAAAACGACAAGTGTGATCGGAAGCTGAGGCTTTGGGGACCAAACGGGTGACCGTGAGGGGCGTCCGCTTGCCTGGTGGGAGCCAAGGGGCAGACCTGGGTTGGCCGCAGGTTCTGTGGGGGGGAGGGGGAGGACACCCGGGGCCAGGTGCAGTGTCAAACCTGGGCTTCGCGAGACGCTCGAGGAACCACGAGCTCGGGAAGGAAGTGGCCAGACGCACGGTCAAGCTGGAGGGCGGGGTCACCCGCTTGGAACCAGAATCTGGGACCCGCCGGCCCGGCGGGGGCTGGGAGCCAGCGCCGGCGCTCAGTGACCCCAGCCAGAGGCCACGCTTGGTGTTCCTGAGCTGGGCGGCAGGGGGCGCCCCAGACTGCGCGATGGAGAGCAGGGGCTGCTGGCTGGGGAACATAGGCCCCTGGCCTCACCTGGGCAGGTGAGGCCGCAGAGCAGGGAAGGGTCCCCAGGCAGCTACTCTGGCTCGCTCCCTTCCCGCCCTGCTGGCCGAGCCCCGCGGCCTTCCCTTCTCTCTGCCCAGTGAGCTCGGGAGGGAGGCAGGCCGTGCGGCCTCCGTCCACTTGCATCACCAAGACCAGAAGTTCTTTCCACCGCAGGCGGGCAGGGCCTTCAGGGTGGTGGGCGGGGGCTGGGGGAGAGCAGGGCACCAGACCCACCTCCAGGCAGAGGGAGGCAACCCGGCTTCCCAGCAGAGTCACCTGGGAGATTTCACCATCACCCACCTGGGCCCCACCTGGACCCGCACAGCAGAATCCCACCCTAGGAGTCTGGGGGCGGGAAATCCCCAAGGTTTAATCGCTGGGCCTGTGCTCCAAAATGTAGCCCAGGTTACGAACCTCTGCTTCAGACTGCAGCTCCCAAAGCCCATTCCTGGGCCTGTTTCGGCACCCCTGGTAATGGGGTAGAAATGCAGAGTCCCAGGCCTGCCCTGAGTGTTTGAATCGAGGCTCTGAAAGGCAGGGACGCTGGGCTTTGCATTCTAAGGTATCCCCCAGGTTATTCCGCCCATGCCTCGCTCTCCTATGGGTGCTCCAGGGACCAGCCGCACAGGGGGCGCCTGGGCTGGGGTCTTGCTAGGAATGCAGAGTCCCTCACTCTCCACTAACCTGCTGAATGAGGACCTGCATGCTAACAGGACCCCTGGGCAGTCCGCGGCTCTAGGGTCCCCAATGAACAGGAACAATACGAGGCTGGGTGTGGGAACCCCAGCAGGGGCGCAGCAGAAAGGCTTCGACCTCCGAGCGGGCCCTCCGGGCAGGGCAGGGGTGGGCTGCGTGCAGGCCGGAAAGCGAGGGTGGCCTGACGGGCTCGGGAGAGGTGAGGGGTGAGCACGGGCGTGGCGGTGTCCACCGCTAAGAGGTGGACCCTGGACGGCGGGTCAGAATGCTGAGTCACAGGGAGCTACTGGCCGCGGTTGTGTAAAAGTGTGTGTCCCTGCACACGAGTCATAAACTAAGGGCGGTAGATACACCCAGAAAGAGGAGACGACAGACGCCATGGCTCCACCCCCCACACACCACCGCTGCTCAGGCTCCTTTTCCAGCTAGTTTTTCACCGAATGAACAGTTTTAAAGATAGAGTCCACGGCAGTTTATTTTCAGTTTTCACTTGGGCGGGGCCACGTGGGCTGTTCTGATGAAGCTGGGGGCCTGAACCCCTGCATTCTGCAGAGCCTCCTTTGCCAGGAGAAGCCACCCTCCCTCCCCGTGTGGGGGTCAGGCCCCCTCACTGGAGACCCCGCATGGTCTCCCCTGAAGTTCTCGTCTGCAAGGGGCTGCTGCCTCCTTCTCAGGACCAAGCCCACCCCGTCTCCACTGTTGCATCGAAGGGCAGGTCCTGAAGTTCAGACGTGACCTCAACAGTGAGGGACAAAGGGGGTCACCACATGTGACCATTTATGTCATCGAAACCCAGGGAACAGGAAAGGGGGGGTCAGGGCAGTGACAGAACATTGGATTGGCCTGAAGGGTTGGCTTGGGCCCGCTTGGCAGAGTTCTGGGTGGGGAGAGGCAGGGGCTCATTGACGAGGTCACAGGTGCAGAAGGAGGCTGAGGTGCCTCCATTCAGGTGCCCAAACGCTTGGGGAGCCCGAGGTGTGTGCTGGATGAATCTGTCACCTAAGGCTTCCTGGTCCCCGCCCCACTAGGTCCCCCAACGATGCTCTGGACACTGTGGCTGTGAAGAGGCTCCAGCTCCCTTGAGACCCTCTCTGGTGACTCAGGCTAATGGTGGGGACAGCCGCCCTGGACACTCCCCTGGAGTCTGTGGGCACTGGGACCCCTCGGGGCAGGGCCATGAGGTGTGGCTGCCATCGTGGGTGTCAGCAGAGCAGCCTGACCCACAGAGACCCTGGTGCTGTTGCTGATGGAGCCGCAGGACCCAGGACGGCCGGCCACCTTCCCGATGACGTGCTCAGCCACCGAGTTTATTCAGGCAGGGGGGTGCTGGTTTGCAGACACAAGTGGTCACTGGACACCCACGCTTCCTGCCTGCGGCTCCCTGAGGCCCGGGCCGTCAGGGCCCCTGCGGCTTCCTGGCCCCCCAGCCCCCGGGGGCAGCTCCATGTTCTCCCTGCTCCTGGAAGGGGGGCTCTCAGCCCCAGTGGCAGACTCAGAGCACCCTTCTCTCCTGGTGGCGAGCACTGATGTTCGATTCGTCCCTAAAACCCTTTGGAATGGCCCGAGCAAAGATGTTTTTCTCCCAATTTGATCTGCGGATCGGATTCCAGAAGTGGACGCTGGGAGTCTGCTGCCAGCAGCCCACAGTCCTCTGGCGGGAGATGAAATAAAGTCAGCGTGACAGCTCCGGTAGGTGACGTCTCCGTCCTCCTCCCGACGGTTTATAAGGAGGAGCCCAAGTGCCGGTGGCAGACGCCCCTCGGGCTGTGGGCAGAGGCTGAGGGGACAGTGGCAGGTAACCCCGGACAGGGCAGCTGAGGGGGTGCAGTTCCCTAAACTGTTACAATTAAATAGGCCGACAGAGCCTGGGGCTTGGCCTCAGAGTGACGGCTCGAAGCCACTACGGTGAAGTCCTGGGACAACACCGTCTTCTCACTGGGCTGGGTTCCAGGAGCTGCCCACCCAGGGTGGTGAGAAGAGCTGGGCCCCGAGGCATGGTTGGCCTCACCTACCTGCTTCCTCCCGCTGCAGGGGGACCTGAGCAAGTCACCGGTCGGTCGGTGCCGATGCCCCTGGGGAAGATGACCTGCCTGCTGCCCGGGGTAGCCCTCTGCCTCCTGCTGGGGTCTCTGGCAGGTGAGTGGCCCGGGGCAGTTGGGACCGAGTGGGGTCCTGCCCAGGGCTCTCCTGGGTGACAGCTGTCTCTTCTGTCGCAGGGGCCAAGCCGGTGCAGGACGAAGGAGGTATTGCATCGCCAGTTCTGTCCTCGTCCGGGCGGGACAGGGGGCAGGCGAGGGGCTGGGTGGGCACTGCTTCTTATTCCGAGGAGATGAGTGGAGCTCTGGGTCAGCAGGCAGAGGACCTGGGGCCCCTTCCCCAGGCCACACCCTGCAGACCCCTGGGGACCTACCTGGCAGGAGGGAGCCAGACTCTGTGTGGTGTCGGGACCCTCCGAGCTCGGGGACACTGACGTTCCCACCCTCATACCTGAGTCCTAGGGTGGAGCAGTAACATCCAGACTCCAGGACTGGGGCCGTGTGGTCCCCTGTGAAATCCCACCGTGTCCCCACCACACCAACCCCTCCCTTCTCAGTATGTCCAAGTCAGGGGCCCGACTTCCCCGTCCCCCTCCTCTGTCCCCTACACTGGGAGTCAGGGCAGGGCCTGGGCATGCCCCACAGCTCCTTGGAGGACTGGGGGTGACCCAGGGGGTGCTCCCAGCCGGGAGGGGCCCTTCACGGCACTGGTGCTGCTGGGGCCTCCGGGGCGGGGCACTGGCACAGCTCCTGAGCAAGGCTGCACACGTCTTTCAGACCCCTACGCGGAGCCGCCGGCCATGCCCTACTGGCCCTTTTCCACCTCCGACTTCTGGAACTACGTGCAATACTTCCAGACGCTGGGCGCCTACCCCCAGATCGAGGACATGGCCCGCACCTTCTTCGCTCACTTCCCCCTGGGGACCACCCTGGGCTTCCACGTCCCCTATCAGGAGGAGTGAGGGGTCCCCCGCCTGGTGCCCTGGCCACCAATAAACTCCTGACTTAAACGCGCAACACGCGTGCAGTTTTCTTTCGAGGCCCAGCTGCACTCAGAACCCGAGGACCTTCTCGCGTGTCCCTGCTGGTGGACACGTGACATCAGTAGCGGCGGTTCTGGTCAGGACGTACTGCTCTGTGTCACCCTCTCGTCTGGTCCTCATCACGTTCCTAGAAGGGCACTGTGGGTTCCCTGGAGTGTAGGTGGGGAAACTGCCTGACTTGTGGACAGGACTCAGGTCCCATCCGACAGCTGCTCCCTCCGCCCTTATCCTTCTTAGTGACCTTCTAAGGTCACTAAGCTGTGCAGCAGCCCGACCTGCAGTGGCCACTGGTCACACTCAGCACACTCCCAAGAGCCACTGGCCCCAGGCAGCCAGAGCTGGGAGCTGGGCACACACTCTGGCTGGACAGAGCCTGGGCCACCAGCCCCGCACACTCCAGAGGCCAGTGTCTTGGGGCCCATCCTCCGGCTGGGCAGGGCCCCTGTGCCAGCTGGGGAGCCCCCAGCTCACACCCCATCAGAAACTGGCCTAAGGGGCTGCAGCCAGCGCTGCACTGAAAATAAAACAGAAGAACATTTACTGTCTCTTTCACTGCAGACACTGCATTTGGATCAGCACCTGAATACAGGACCAGTTCCGCCCAACCAGAATAGAAACACGCGGGGCTTGGTGAAATGTGCGAGTCACCTGTTAGATTTGGGGGGAGGTGGGTGACAGACAGGGGTTTTGTCCTGCGTGCAGTCCGAGGGGCTTGGCCCTTGAAGGTCACTGAGCAGCCGCTGCTGCTCGGAGCCTCACGGAAAGTATCTCAAGAGAGGCCATCGTGCAGTTCTTGCAGCGACAGAGTGGGGTGGTGGGACCCTCCCCAGGCCCAGGCCCAGACGCCAGCTGGGCTGTGAGGACCCAGAAATGGGGAGGCAGCCAAGGCCGCCCGAGCAGGGACTGGTGCCTCCAAGGCCATGCTGCCCGCTCTGGCCCTCCTGGAGGCTGCCGGAGCTCTCATCTCCACTGGCTTGGGTAAACTCTCAAGAGAAAGACCTTTGGCCTGGCTGATTCTTCTGGGAAAAGCGAATACATTGTCTTTCTCCTTCCCTCCCTTGAGCTAGTTTGAATGTGGTTTCTGTAAATTAATTGCAGTTTTCTTTCAAGTCCTGATTCCTGCAAGAGCTGGATGTGAGGGTTTGTCAGAAGCTCCCACTGGGGACAACTGTGCCTGAACCACACACAGCAGGGCAGACGCCCCCAGAGCGGGATCTCCGTGACACTGACTTGCCTGTCAGTTCCCGTGTGTGAGAGTTACCTTCCACGGGATACTCGAGGCCCCGGTTACGATGAGCACTATGCTCTCTGCAGGCTGTTCAGAAGGACTGCAACCCTGGGTGCCTTCCTGGGGGGACCCCTCTGTGCCCTGGCCAGAAACATGTGCCCCCTTGGGTGTCAGCAGCCCCCACAGCTCCCTGGGGATACATGGCTGGGCTGCATTCATGGGTCACAAGGGCTCAGCTGACCCTCCCTCTTTGCTCAGAGGAAGAAATCTCCAACCCCAAGTCACCCTCAGCAGCCCCCTGCTCCCCCAGGCTGCCCACCTGGCAGCGCCTGGGACGTCTCACCCCCGGGGGGTTCAGGACTCCGATCTGGCTGGGTCCCCCCTCCCCGCCTGCATTCACCCAGGCTCACAGCAGGCTCAGCTCCCTTCTGTGCACCCCTCCCGCTTGGTTTCCCCTCGCGGTCGGACCTCGAGGGGGGCCCTGGGCTGCTTCTGTGTGCAAACGGGAGCTGATGTGAACGCGGGCGGCGGATTCTCTGGGACCGCTTCGCGCTCTCGGGGGTGCGGACCCGGAATGGGGGTGCTGCATCACACGGTGACCGCGTTTCGTCCCGAGGACCCTCCGTCCCGGTTTCCGCAGCAGCCGCCCCGTCGTCCGTTCCCGCGCGCGCTGGGTGTTTCTGGGGTGTGGACGGCAGCCGCCCCGGCGCGCTTCCCGGGGGGTCAGTGCTGGGGCGCATCTTGTCGGGCGGGGCCCACGCGCGTGTCCTCCGTGGAGCCGTGTCCGCCCCGGGGCTCGGCCCGTGTGTGAACGGGGCTGTTTGCTGCCGAGTTCCAGTTCCCGGCGCATTCCGGACGGCAGTTCTGAAGTCAGACACGCGGCCGCAAAGCCTCCCCCATTCCGGGGCCGCCTTTCCGCCCTGCTGACCATTCCCCTTCTTTTCTTTCCGCTGAACGCCTTGCTTTGCTTTTTTAATTAACTTTATTGACCACGCTATTACAGCCGTCCCCACACATTCCTTAATGAGTATTTCTTGGGCACCTCTCTGCGCCAGACCCTTTGGGCTGACCTGTCTGGGGCCGCGGGCCACGCGGACTCACTGCGCGGCGCTCCTGGTGCCACTTAAGCGAGGACCAGGGCCCGTGCAGTGCGTCCAGGCCACCGGCCAGAGGGAACCATAGAGTCGGCGGTCCTCCGGCGTCTACACCTGCCGCGGCAGCGCGCGCACCGGAAGAGGAGGCCTGCGGGCCGGAAGTGGGCCGTGGAGACCGGGAGCGCTGCGGGGCGGGATGAAGCCGGCTGTAGACGAGATGTTCCCCGAGGGCGCCGGGCCGTATGTGGACCTGGACGAGGTGAAGCGAGCGCCCCGGGCCGGGCGGATCGGAAACTGGGGTTGTGGGGCGAGAGAAGCGGCGGGCCGGGGAGAGGCGCGCGGATTGTAGTCTCGGGACCACGGGGCGCGCGAGCGGCTGTGGGGGTGACGGAGGCCGGAGCCGTGCTGGCGGCATGTGGCGTAGATGTGTATCCCGTGGGCAGGCGGGGAGACCGGAGCGAGGCTGGAACCCTCACCGGGAGCCGCGGGGCGTGGGCTGTTTGGCATCACGTGACCCTGCCCGTGGACGGGACGTTTAGTTCGGGGACCCTGTTCGGCGATGACACGGGGGTACGAGGTGGTCTTGCGCGCGTGCCACCTCGTCGCGGTGGCCTTGTCTGCCGCCCGGCTCAGCTCCCGGTGCCAGGCCCGCTGCCGAGGTTAGCCTCCTGTTCTGAAAGGTCGGGGAAGCCGCAGTCCGCGCCGGCACGCGCCAGGCAGAGCGGCGACTGCACACCTGCGCGGGTGGAGAGGTGGAGGAGCCCTGACTTCAGCGCCTTCCAGCCCGCGGAAGGCCCAGCAGAGGCAGAGAGCCGGACTGCAGCCGCGCGCTGCTCGGGCGGTGGGCCAGGTGGACGAGGGTGCAGGGAGGAGGCCGGGTGAGAGCGGCTGGGGAAGGGAGGTGGGGAAGGTAGCCGGTCCGTCCCAGACTACAGTATCCCTGTAGGGTGGCAGGACTCTCCGCACTCACTCCTGGCACTTCCACTGACCCAGGCTGCTCAGGCCTATGTTCAAGTCACCGCCCTGGGCCTCGTGGAACCACTGGCGGGACTGAGAAGCTCCCACCCAGAGAGTTTGGGGAACAGGAGAGTGAGCAAAGACAACACCAGTAGGTGGAGGCAGGGACAAGCTCCACACAGTCCATGGCTTGTGGTGAAGGGAGGAGGTGGAGAATCTGGGGCTTCGGGGACACGGAGACACGCACGGGCTGAGAGCCAGGAAAGTGCAGCAGGGCCTGTGGGCTCTGCTTCATTCTCACCCTGTGGCTGGGGAGGAGTCTCCAGGTCCTGCACTCACCAGGCAGCCAGCTCTGGTTATGGCCCGGAGTTACTGCCACCACAGAGCTGGGGCAGAGGCAGGTCCCCAGAGAACACGGTTTAGTTTTCAGAAGGAGCAGAGCAGTCCTGGGGCTCAGTGCTGTGTCCACCTGTGGGCTCTTGGGGTGCCCAGCAGGGTTTTGGACCCTCAGCTGGTGGCTGGTGGAGACACTGTGATCAGGGCAATGGCAGGGCTCCCCGAAAGGCAGGGGAGACTCAAAAAATGTCCACCTCCATCCCACCCACTTCCTTCATCTCCGGCCTGGGCACTTCTCCGGCTCTGACCTACTTGCTAAGGGCAGTGGCGGGCAGTGGTGTGGGCTCCGGATGGCCGCTGTCTCTGAAACCGCAGCTCACTCACCTGTCCTCTCCCTTCTGCAGGCCGGAGGCAGCACAGGGCTCCTGATGGACTTGGCAGCCAATGAAAAGGCAGTTCACGCGGACTTCTTCAATGGTGAGGGTGCGGCTGGGGCGCCAGCTGTAATCAGGACGCTCTTCCACAGGCGCGCGGTGCCTGGGTGACACGGGTGGTTTGGATCTTGGGACAGGAAAGCCCAGACTCAGTGCCATGCTCAGAACACAGTGTGTTTGTGCAGTGCGGCGGCGTGGCTGTCGGCTCTGGCTGTCAGCCCTGTCACTCAGGAGGAGAAAATAGCACAAAATTGCTCCCAGCTTTACATTCCGGGCATGGAGCCCGGGCTGCAGACACAATTCTGGGTCTGGGTCATGGCCGGTGTGGCAAGGACCGTCTGCCTTTCTCATCCCCCTCCCTCCCGGGGGGCTGGCCTTCTTGCCTTTCCCAGTTTGCCATGGGCCCTGGCCCTGCGCTGCCTTCACAGAGGAGCCCGTCTGCGCCTCTGAGACCGGGCCCTGGTGCTTACCCCCCCAGAGCTGGGCACGAGCTCTCGTGCAGTTTTCCCGACAGTCAGCGAGGGGCTCTTCAGGAGACCCGCACACACGTCACAGGGTGTTCCTCTGTCTTGGAGTTTTTCCAGACCTCGTTTCTGCGGGTTCAGTTCATTCTTGCCAGGGGTTTGATCATCAGTAGAAACGCGGGGTTTGGGTTTCTTGGGGGAGTTGAGTGGCGTTTTCTTTCTTCGTTACCCTCCTTTAATCCAGGGTGGCTGCCACCACAAAGAACCTCTGTCACTGGTTAGCAGCAGCTAGGACACCACCTTGCCACGTTGGTTTTCAGCAAACCCGAGGCCCCCAGGAGCCCAGCCGTCACCGAGGCTGCGGGAAGTGGCATGTGAGCCTCGAGAGCAGAGCAGCATCTTCACGCTGAGCCAGCGGGTGTGGGGGACAGGCCGGGAAGGTGCAGGGCCTTCCCTGAGCTGCTCACTCGGTGCGGCTCGGCCCCGAGAGACTGTGACCTCTGGCACCTGACACTGCGTGACCTTCTCGCACATCCCGATGCCCCTTTCGGAGCCTGGCACACCCTCGGCCAGCTCATGGCTTGGAGCATGCTGAGTCTAGTGTTCGTGCGGTTTCCCAACACGGTCCCGACAGCGTGTCTGAGAGGCGCCCAGGCGGACCTGCCAGGGGGTGTTTAGCAACAGGAGCAGTGCCGGCCCCTGTCCCCAAGTCAGGCGGACAGGGAGGGACGCAGAGGGGCTCCGTGCCAGAGCCCACCAACAGCGCCTTCTGCCCGTCAGCCAGTGAGTGGCCTGTGTTCAGAGGCCGTCACTCGAGGCCATGTGGACTTCCGATGGGGCCCCTTCCAAGTCCTTCCCACTCAGAGACCAAGGTCCTGATGGCCTGTTTCCCCGGGGGTGGGGTGGGCTGACCGGACTGAGGTCCCCCCTCTTCGCTTATCGTCTCACAGAGCGGTGCAGGATGAGGCGGGGCGAGGGCAGGGACAGTCCTGGGAAGGGAGCCCTGAGCTGTTCCTGGGAGCGGAGGCTGAGCGGAGGTCCAAAGGGCGTGGGGGGCTGGCTGGGCTGGGGACACTCCTGTGCCCCGAGGGGTGAGGTCTCTCTTCTGCCCTGGGAGAGGCCTTTACTGCACTCGGTCGTCCGAGTTTTCTCCGTGTTCCCACCAACCACACAGTTTTCTCGGGTTGTTTTCTGGGTCATCTGCCTGTGAGCATGTGGTTTTGTTCCTTCATGCAGATTTTGAAGATCTCTTTGATGACGACGACATCCAGTGAGGCGCTTGCGTGGGGCCAAGCCTGTGTGGCGTGGACGAGTGGCTCGGCTCCTCGGGACAGCGCAGTGGTTCTGAAGCGTGTGCCATAACGCCGGGCAGGAGGAGACGGCTACCCGGGAGGGAGGAGGGAGGAGGGAGGAGGGAGTCAGTGGCGTGGGTGAGCCCGGCTCCTTGCTGTCCGCCCTGCAATTAAAAGAGGCAATGCCACCACTCTCAGGGGGACTCTTATTTTTGCGTCTGAATGACTGGCCCAGTCCCTCAAGGCCCATGTGCACGTGTGCAGAGGGCACACTGGCGGCCGGGCAGTCGGCATGGTTTCCTGCGTGTGGCACTGCAGAGCCCTGAGGCCATGGCGCAGGTGCAGTCTGTGAGCCCCGGAGGCCAGGCCGAGCCTGCGGGAGTCCCGTCGGTCACCGCATCCGGACCCGACCCTGGGCCCTGCTGCTCGTTCCCCACAGAGCAGGACCCTGTGCTGCTGCCTTCCCGCCAGAGCAGCTGCTGTGCCCAGACCTGAAGCCCAATGAAGCAGGGCTGGGGGGTCTCAGTGGAAAGTTGCCTTCCTTGTGGGGAGCTGGGGGGGGGGGCGGTCCACGACGACAGTCAGTGTGACGTCCAAAGGGATTCAGGTCTAAGGTTGGTTGGGGGCTTTTTTCAGTTCTGCGTTGGCCCGGCTCAGCAGTTCGGAGTGGCTGTCAAAATTGAGGTCGCTCTTTCGGATCCGTCTCCAGTGAAGACGAGTCTTCACCCCGGAAGCCCTGTGCCCTGGGGGTGGGGGTGGGGGTGGGGGGAGCAGAGCCTCAGCTGGGTGGGCGGCGCCCCCCGGTGGCCTCGCTGGGAGGGAGCCGTGTTCCCGGCTGACCAGGGCAGCCTTTCTGAGTCTGGCTGGGCCCGGGCCCTGTCCCTAGGGCTACGGCCTGGTTCAGCGCCAAGAGGAGGGCTGCATTCTGGGAAAGACCCAGCTCGGAGACATGTGGGCAGCTGTGTCAGAAGACCCTTCGCGCAGAGCGCTCCGGGCCCTGGGCTGGCAGTGGGGCCGCCTCTCCGTTGGGCTCAGCGCCCACAGTCCGGTGTCGCAGAGCGGTGTCCAGTGCTGTGTTTGAGGGGGGTGCACAAGCAGTTCTTACAGCTCCTAAGTGCGTCCCCACAATAGGCCTAGGAGGGCATGTGGGTGTCCAGGTGTGTCCTCGGGTGACTGCCGGTCACCCCACCGCAGCGAGCCCAGTGTCTTCCTTGAGGCTCACAGACTGCGAGACTGGTGACACAGCACTAAATGTGTTTTTTGCTGACTTGGCAGAAAAAAGCTATAGTTTTCCCTCATTCACACCAGACAGTTCTGTGTCGGCTCTTGTCATTTTCTTATCCAGTGATTCAGGGGAGAGAGGCCAGCGCCCCCGACCGATGAGTCAGGCTCTTGCGTGTGAAAGGTTCTGCGGCGCATGGGTCAGAACTCGCTGTCCTGCCTACGCTCGCTGTCAGGAGGGTTACCCAAGTCCATGGGCCAGCCCGGGACCCCCTTAGTCCCTGTGAGGTCTGGCCAGGTCAACTCCCTCCCTGCTTGTGCCTCGGTTTCCTCACTGGTAGACGAGGCTCTCAGTCCCTTGGGCCCCCTAGTGCCCAGCTCGTTGGCTTCAGCAGGGAGGGGTGGTGGAGGTGAAGAAGGGGGGCTGATGCAGTCACCCTGTGGCCCCAAGAGTGGGCGTGTTCTCTCCAGATGGAGGCGCCAGGACCCCGCAGCTGCCCTGCTGACCTTCGGGCTGGAGACACGTGTGTGTGTCCTGCATGTGTTTAGACATGTTCGAGCCCTAGGCCTCCCTTGGCCTTGACAGAGCCCTGGCAGTGCCCTTGATGCCCTGAGACTGGGAGAACGACTGTCCCTCATCTCTAGGACCTGGCTATCGCCGGGCACCATGACTCCCTCAGGACACGGCAGCTTTACTGGCTGTCTGTCTGTGCCCAGTCCTTTAGCGAAACTGTAGCCATTGGCAGGGACGCTTTTGTCTGCTCAGACTAAACTGTCACTGCGTAGACCTGCCTGTCTCAGGCTCAGCTGTCGGCCAGGCTGTGGGGCGTCAGAGGGGCCGGGTAGGGGGCAGACACCACCGCTGGGAGAGAAGCAGGCCCCTGCCTCGGTGTCTTCCCTTCAGGGGGTGGGCACACACTTGGGAAGGCCTCTGATTGGCCCGCTCTGTCGCTCCCACACCTGCCAATCAGCAGCAGCCAGGCTTCTGGCCCAGAGGGTGGCAGCACCGTTAGCCTCTCAGGGCCACGGAGGGGCCTCCTCTGAGCGGATGGCTCCCCTCGAAGGCTGTGAGGGTTACCGGCAGTATTTTCTTCGAGCCTCACTGGTCTTGGGCCCCTGCTCAGCCACAGGCTCCCAGCAGTGAACGTCGGCGGGGGGGGGGGGGGGGGGTTCCTAAACCACAGGGGTCGGCAGGGTTTAGGGGCAGCGGGTAGTGACGGTTTTGGTGTTCCAGCCCCTTTGAGCTCATCCGTCGAGGCCTGTGAAGGGGCCTGTGCTTTTCCTGCCCTCCCACCGGTCTGTCCTGGGCAGGCGCGGGCCCCTCGCAGGCCCCTCCCCTCGGCAGCGCTTTGTGGGCCGGCAGGAGGGGGCCAGGGCTCAGGGGCCTGCCAGCGGGGGCACCGGCCTCTGAGTTCTCCCAGGGACAGTCACTGGCCTAGGGCACCTCCCAGGCAAGTCACACTAGAAAGGGCAGTGTTGCCGACTGTAGAACTCCCGCTGCTGTGAATGCTGCCTGGAGCCAGGATGGGGGAGTGTTGGGAAAGCGCCCGGATAAAAGCCCTTTGTCCCTCAGGGGCCCGCAACAGGCTCCGAGTCCAGGCCTCTGCGGGGTGAAGGGGCCGAGTCCCTGCTCGGCCTGTGTGCACCCCACACCCCCGGGGACAGGCTCGCGGAAACTGCGAGCGTTTGAACCTCGTCTCCCTGCGTCATGCCGACACCTCCTTCTGGTCAGCGCAGGGTGCTCCCCGCCCCACTCAGAGGGCTCTTAGGGCCCGTGTGTCAGTAACTGTCAGCCCCAGGTCACAGAATGCGCCATGGGAAAGTGTGGGGCTACCGGCTTTATCAGCACTGTGTGGTGGTGAGTGCCCCGTGACTCGAGACAGCCAGTGGATGGCTGTCCCTCTGGGGCGGAGCGGGGTGGCCGAGGGGGTCCCCGGGAGTGTGAGGGGTGCTGGGGTGCGAGCTGGATGTTCTCCCTGTCTCTGGGTCTGCCCCCAGCTGGGTCCCATGCCATTTTCTTTGGATCCTGGTTTGCAGCTGGAGCAGAGAAGGAAGGCCTGGCCTTCAAGGCCAAGGGCCGCTCACTCACATGAGCTCTGAGGAGGGGCTGGTTTCACAGCCGAGTCCCCAGACTTGGAGAAACTGCCCCCCAGGACCTGTGGGGCGAGAGTTTGCCTGAGGACGGTGAGCTGGCGCTTCCAGACAGGGCGCCGCCTCAGCTGGGCGTCTGCCTGCGGCACCAAGATTTCTGCCTGGCGAGGACGCACCGGCGTCCTGGCGCTGCCAGGGAGTGTGCACGGTTCCAGTCGCTGGCGGGGGGGCAGCTGGAAGCTTCCCACAGGCAGGGACCCGTGTGGGGACACAGGACGGCTTGTCCCCGCTGCCGTCCTTGGACGGTGCTGTGGGTTCGGTTGTTTGTTTTTCTTTTTTCCTTTTGAATCAACTTAAACCTTTATTTTGCTGAGACTTAATTTATCCTGTCACTTGGAAGGCTCGCTCCTGTCCCGCTGTGCCCAGTGCAGTTACGAAACTGTTGCAATAACCTGCTGGGCCTTCTGCTGAGACAGGAAACCGCTAAACCTGCCGAGGCAGCGACGTTCGGAGCAGTTGGCTGTACCTTTTCTTTACCGAGCGTCGTGCTGCTGATGCTGCTGATCCCGTAGATCTGCGCCTCGACGGCTGCTTTCGTGTTCAGCATCATGTCCGGAGAACGGTCCCGGGGTGGGGGCCCTCAGTTTGCGGGTGAGCAAACACTGGACCCAGGACGGGCAGAGCGGGGCTTTGCCCGTAGCAGGACCCAGGTCGCAGTTCTGCCCCCTGATGGGTGGCCCAGAGAAAGTTATTGAACTTCCTGCCTCTGTTTCCATCCACACAAAGGAAAGTTACACTTAGTGTGAGAAAAGAGGAACCACCCTGGCTGGTGCAGCTCAGTGGACGGAGTGCCAGCCTGCAAACCAAAGGACCGCCGATTCGATTCCCGGTCAGGGCACCTGCCTGGGTAGTAGGCCAGGTCCCCCGTAGGGGGTGTTCAAGAGGCAGCCAAACATTGACGTTTCTCTCCCTCTCTTTCTCCCTCCCTTCCCCTCTGTCTAAAGATAAATAAAAATCTTTAAAAGAAAAGAAAAGAGGGACAACTTCTATTCAGCAAAAAGTGCCCCGGAGGGGCCGTGCAGCAGCAGACTGAAGGTGTCGGCCCAGGGCGGGGGCACCTCTTGGCCGCGGTGCTGACAGGAGGACCCGGACAGAGGCCGGGTCGTGGCCGTTTGCAGGGCGTCCCAGTGCGGACGAGGCCTGCCCGGGGGTGCGGCTCAGAGAGGTGCCTCAGGGTTAGCAGAGGTGGGCTGGGGAGGGGGGGCTGGAAGTGTGGGCCGGTTACATGGTTGCATTTAACTGTTAACTGTCAGCTCTCACTGAACTGAGGGTTCAAGGTCTGTGTGTTTACCTGCACCCATGTTGTCCGTCGGCACTCATTTCAAAGCAAAGCGTCTGAGTCAGCTGGGGCCGCCGTCCTAGAGCCCCGGACGTGGTGGCCTGCACAGAGGAGAGCTGTGTCTCAGACGGAGGCGGGACGTCCCAGGACTTGGCGCCGGCAGGCCTGGTTCCCGCCGAGACCTCCCTCCGAGGCTCCCTCTGCAGATGGCCTTTTGTCTGTGCAGGTGGCTCCTGGTGTCTCCTCTTCCTCTTCGAAGGACACCTGTCCCTTTAAAGGAGGACCCTACCTGCATCACATCATTCAGCCCTGATTTCCTCCTCAAAGGTCCCATCTCCCCACGCAGTCAGTCACAGGGGGGTCGGGTTTCAACAAGGCCTTTGGGGGACACAGTGCGGCCCCTACCACGACGCCTGCCTCGTGCAGCGGCGGCCAGGACGGAAGGGTCAGACCAGGATGGGCCCTGGGCGTGGCCAGTGGGCACTGGCACAGGAGAGGAGGTGGCCGTGTCCTGCAGCGGGCCCTGGAGGGCACGTCGCTGTGCCCCTGTCTGGGACTGTCACCCCACAGTGTGTGGAGGCCCGTACAGAGGTGAAGTCACTGGGGCTGCACCAGTACTCGGGACCGACAGAGGCTGCTCCGCAGACCAGCAGGTCCGAGGGCCACCCGCATGGTGCCGTTCTCAGGGATGACCCTGGCCGCAGCCGCCCTGGGCATCCCACAGGCAGCCGCCTCTCCCTGGAATAGGGAGGGAACTGCATGTGGCTGGGTGGTCTGGCTGTGGGGGGATGTATGTTCCACATCTGGGAACATGGCCAGCTGCTACCCATCCTGAGAGAAGGCCAAGTGTGAGCCGGGGCCTGACCGACAGGAGGCTGTGTCAGAACCGCAGGACACGGCAGCTCTGCAGAAGCCCTGGGCCCTGGCCTGGCCCGGCCGTGAGACTGGCTCTGGGCTGCAGCCCGAGAGTGCCACCTGGTGGCAAACGTGGGGATTTGGGACCAGAACGTTTCCAGACCCAGGGACGTGGTATTCACCATTTGAAAGACAACTGCTAGTTTGTTCTTGGGAATTGACTGAAAGTGCCCCTAAGACTGAGAACAGAAAGTCATCTTGAAACCCAAAATACTCATGAGGCCTTGGGTGACATTGGAGAGCCGGTCTGACAAGGGGAACAGCGCCCGGAAGGCTCCATGATGGAGCGGAAATGGCTTAGCCGGGAGCCCTCAGCAGGGGGTGCTCACCCTCCACGGCTGACCTCGGCACCACCTGACCGACGAGATCATGGTTCAGGGTTCAAGATCACGGTTCACAGTTCAAGGTGGTTCAAGGTTTGGGAGCTCAGCCTCCCCCTAACCAACTGGTGGGAAGCCCTGACTGACTGAGGGAGGAAAGACCAGCTCAGGGGGCTGAGGGCGTGCTGGTTTCCTCACGGTGCTGCAAGAACTAAACAGCAAAACAGGACCTGCTCGCTCACTCACGGGCCGTGGCTGGTGGCCCAGCCTGGGGACCGGGCAGGTGAGCGCAGGAAAACCAGACTCAAGGGGATGCCGTTATGGGGCACGGCCCTACGGGAGTCACTCGGGGAGTTTGGGGCGCACTGCAGGGACACGTGGTGATGGCCCTCAGAAGAGCCCCTTCCACGACGGGAAGGTGGTGGGAAACAGCACGGGGCGACCAGGTCGGACGGCTGCAGGCCACCCCGGAGGCTACAGAGGGGTCCTGCCGCCGACTCCGGGCCAGCCGTGGGGGCACCCCATGGTGGAGGGAAATGCTCAAAACACCACGAGAGGCCTGGGAAGAAGACTCGGCACTGATCTGGACCACAGCTGTGGTTGTTCAGAGCAGGGCACTCACTCTGCAGCCCACGGTGTCCAACCGCAGGCACAAGGACACCACGTTGAATGGACGAGTCCCGTTGCCTCTCATCCCCAGAGCAGAGCGTCGATGGAAAATCGGAACAGGTGGCTGAAACACCTGTTTGCAGTGGCGGCGGATAAGGGCAGGTGCTGAGGGCTGGCCTACATGCCTTCACGATCCTGCTCACTGAGGGCAGTTGGGGAGGGTCCCTGCTTGATAGACTCTTCTCTGCCGGGGGTCTTGGGGAGAGGGGCTGGGGAAGAGTGGGCCTCATCATGTTTTCCCCACCTGGTCGGTGGTCCTGGGGCCAGGGCTGCAGGAAGCAGCGACAATGCTTCAGTGGCCATAAGCTGTAGTCCTGACTCTTCGTGCTGGGGTTCCTCGGGTGGCTGGGGTGGAGGGTGCCTTCATCCTCTCTGGGCAGCGTGACCCAAGATGGCCCCTGGCCCTCTGGCGACCCCACCTGTTGGGAACCGCTCTGCCTGGTTTCAGGAACTAACTGCCTTCCACAGATAAGGCTGAGTGAGCAGCCTCCGGAATTCGACTCGCAGGAGACAAAGCTTGTTTCTGGTAGCAAACGCCGCCTCTACTTACTCCCCTCCCCGCCCCCAGTGCAGGGTCAGATAGAGACGGGTGAGACTCCTCAGAGGAGGGGCAACCTAGGCCAGACACGGTCACTTGGGAGGCCATGATGGAAGGACTCGGGGGCCTGCAACAAAGAGGGAGTGATGGACCCTCGGCCCTCCCCTCCCCCCCCCTGGCTATTCTGACATAGCCCAGTCCCCATGTCTTCTGGGAGAAGCGCTTTCTGGCTCTAATACACTTAAGCCTGAAAACCTGTGATGGGGAAGGCGGTGCAGCCCTTTGCCTGGCTAGGGCAGGATCCGGGGTGATCTGGTATAGGAAAGAATTCCTAACAGTCCTGTGAAGCCTGCTTTGCTAAGAGTGCTTCTAGTTAAATGATAAAGGGCCAGGCAGAAAATGAGTTTATTTTCCCAAAGTCTTGTAGCCTTTTAGCTGATAGACCCTGACTTAGGAGAAGCCCTAATGGTTCTTTGTATGCTATCTACTGTTTACTGCCTGACAACGATTAATAAGTTGTACCTGAACTCCTGTGCAAAGAAACCAATAAAAGCCTGTCTAGTGAGGGTGTGCGGCGCTCTCCCCTAGAGAGTGGCCTGCCCCTTTTCTCCACAGGAGTTGGTAGTTGTGTGAATATTTCTTCATCATCCATAACTCCGCGGGCACTGCTGGTCAGTGCACGCGTCCGCACTATAGGTGCAGGCTGTGGACTGAGGCTGCGGCTCCCAGCTCGGACCAGCACCCTGGGCAACCGGGTGTCTCGGTGGTGGAGGCATTCAGGCTGACATCAACGACACGCCAGCGGAACACAAACGGTGCTCCAGGGTAAGGAGTGCGTGGGAGGTGGTGCCACGAGGGAAATGCGGGTGGCTGCTGGGACAGGACAGGGGACACCTTTGTGACACTTGAGAAGGCACATGGTTCTTAAACAGGACACTAAAAAGTGCCTACCTGAAGGAAAAATGAATTGAGGAGACCATTCACGGAGGGGCACCTCCCCACTAATAAAGAATACCGTCTTCCCACGAGCACGTGAGAACGTGAACTGTTTCAAGGACAAAGCCGTGAGCAGTGTCCCTAACCCTGCAATCCTATGGATCTATTAGAGCAGATGGACGTGGAGACCACACTTACCTTAGAGGCACAGATCAATCGATCCTCTTCCTGAGCACCAGGAACAGGTCACTTGCCCTGAGTCCCGTGGACTGGGTGGGGAGGGGAGGGACACCTTCATCTGAAGTTGGTAAGTGGAGAGCAGACTTGTACACCCAAACTACAAAGCCAGTTCCCACAGTGGGTGGGCCAGTCTCCACCTGCCAGCAGTGGCCCCAAACCCTCCCTGGCACTCGGCGCTGCATTTTCCAGGTCCACCATTCTTCTGGGTGGTGACGGTGCCTTGCTGTGACTTTAAATGGCACCTTTGTGTCGTTTACTGGTTCATCCCTGTGGCGGAGCCCTTTCCGACATGCCAGTTCAACAAAGTCTTTTTCCTATTTTTCTATTGAGTCATTTTTTTTCCTTTTTAAGATGCAGGAGTTCTTGTACATTCTGAACATGTGCCCTTTGTTTGCCCTATTTACTGTAAAAAAAAACCAACAGTTTCTGGGCCTTTTTGCTCTCGATGGTGTCTTTTGATGAAAAGAAGCTCTTTGTCTTGATAGCCAACTCGTCTGCTTTCCCCCTTTGGTTTTTTACCTTCCATTTAAGAAACGTTTGCCTAAACCAAGGTTGTGAACATTTCCTCTTTCTATCTATTGATTGTGTAGCTTTACAATCAATCTGACATTGATTTTTATTTTTGGCACGAAATTCTGGTTAAAATTCATTATTGTCTCTGTGGATATCAAGTTGACCAGCGCCCACCAATGACTGGGAGACCCGGTTTCCCCTCTGCAGTGCCCTCCTTTTCATAGCCAACGGCCGGCCGGCCAGCCACCTCCTGTTCCGCCCCATTTGTCTGCACTCGTGCAGCGATGCCACGTCGCTGTCGTCCCTGCAGCCTTTTGTGTATCTTAGTATCTGGTACTAAGTCCTCCCTCACTGTTCTTTGTCCTCGCCATCGCCTTATTTCAGCCCTTCCCAAGCAAGGTGGGGTATGTATGCATTTTAGAATCAGCTTGTCAACTTCAATAAAAGAAGAATGAGTAGGATTATTTAGATTGAATGGATCTGCAGGCGACTTTGGAGATAACGTGTCTTCTTTACAGGTCTGAGGACAAGACACACCCCTCTGTTCGTTTAGGGCGGGTAGCCTGTCACCACCAAGGTACTCCCCAGTCGCAGAACTCCAAGGACCCTTCCGAGTCAGTGCAGCGGCCCACCCTCGCTGCGGCTGCGGTGTGTGAGCGCTGGGAACTCAGCAGAAGCTGGGCTTGGAATTCGGATCTTTCCCAGGCCAGGCACGCGCCGTAGCCGACATTTGGGACGCTGGGCTCCACCACGCAGGACGGTGCACTGTGCTCTGAGCGCGCGCCTCACGTCCAGCAGGTCGGGTGTGTTAAATGCGTTTTTGACATGACCGGGCTGTAAACGCCACCCTAAGTCAGGGGGCACCCACCCCTATTTTGGACAAGCAGGACTTCTGATGTCAGCGAAACCTTCAAGGACACGGTCTCGGGTCGGCCCTGAGCCCCTCCTCCTCTGCGGCCCGAGCACCGGGCTCGGGCCTCCCTTCACCCCGGGCCCCGCCCCGGCCCGCCGTCCCAGCCGCGACGGTCTTCGCGCTACAGACACTTTGGCGGAGGCGACGCCGGGCGCCCCCTGGGTATCGGGGAGGGCGGAGCAGGAGCTGGCCAGAAGGGAAAGGAGAAGACCCGCACGGACCAGGCCCCGGAAAGCCTCCGCCCCGCCCCGCTCTCTGCGCCTGCGCCCGCCGCCCCGCTAAAGCCCCCGACTGGCGCCGCGCGGGCACCCTGGCCGTGACGTCACACAGGCGCGCCGGCAGCAAGAGAGGACCCGGGCGCGACCGCGTCCCCTCGGGTCCTTGAGCCGGTGGCTACGGCGGAGCTATGGCCTTGAGGCTGCTGAGACTGGTGCCCGCGTCCGCGCAGGGCCTCGCGGCGGGGCCCCAGCGCTTGGTGAGGCGGCGGGCGGGGTCCGGCCTGTCTTCGCGGCGCCGCCCTTTCCCGGGTCCCCGGACCAGGGGGCGGCGGCTCTCAGGGTCACTGTCTGGAGGGAAGGCCTTGTCCGGGGGCCGAGTCCCGGGCAGACCTCAGGGGGCCGCGAGCTTCTCCCGGCCTCTTAGTTTCGGCTTCACACAGAGGCCAGGGCACGGAGCGAACCGGCCGCTGGGGTGCCCCGGTGTGGGAGGCCGGCCGGCAGACCCCCTCGCCGGGCCGGTGCGGGCCGCGCAGAACCTGGCTCTAGCCATTTGCTGTCCGTTTGCTTAATTGCTTAAGTCTCGGGTGCGCGCATAGCGGTACCGGAACTGGCGGCCTCCGCCCCCGTGAGAAACGCCTTTATCTGAGAGACCACGGTTCCGCGTCCCTTCAGTTTTGCGACTCCACTGGTTCCCAGGCTCAGCGCCTCTTCCCGCGCCCTGCAGCGACGTGGTTCCGTACATTTGTGATTCGTTTGGTTTTGTCACGTTCTGCACTCCATCCTGGCATGTCTCTTCCCAAAAGGGTTTTCTTAAATTCGTACACACCGAGGTTCGCAGGTTGTGCTGTAGTGTGGCTTTGACGAGTGCATGGTGTGCCGTGCCCACCACTCAGTATCCCGCAGAGAAGTCTCCCTGCCCTCAGCGGTCCCCACGCTTCAGCGAGTCGTCTTCTCCCATAATCCTGGCGTCCCCTCATCTCTGCCGTCTCTCTAGGTTTGCCTTTGCTAGGACGTCATAGAATTGGAGTCCTACAATATGTTGCTTTTTTCATACTGTCTCTTGATACGTGGAGACATAAATTTAAATACGCCCCTGTCTTTTTGTGGCTGGGTGACTTCTCTTCATTGCTGTGATAGGCCACTGTTCACCTGTTCAGCCGCTTTCAGTCCCTGGAGACTATGAGTAAGGCTGCTGTAGGCACGTGGGTGCAGGCTTCTTTGTGGGAAGTGCTGGGTCGCATGGAAAGAACTAGTTTGGTTTTATAAGAAACCGCAGAGCCACCTTCCAGGGTGACTGTCCCCTTGTGCCCTGCAGTGACTGGCACACCTGTTGCACCGAGTCCTCACCGCACGCGGTGTTGGCCGTTACTGGGCTTGTAGCCATTCAGGGGTGAGGAGGGAAGTCTTCAGTTTTTGCTCACATTCCCTAGTCACAGATGACGGCAAGCGCACGTTCACGGGCTTATTCTGCATCTCTTCTCCTGACAGCTGCAGGTCTGCTTCCCGTTTTAATTCCATCATTGTCTTTGCATTCACTTTTGTGACCTGTTTTTTTCACTCTTCAGTAAACAATACAGTAAAGCAAGCACATCAAGACTGAAAAAAGTCTTGTTAGTGTTTTATATTCTCTTAGGTTATTTTTATTTCATAAAAAAAAACTTTTATTTTTGTCAGTACTTGGTATTCCATCACATGGATTTACCTTGAGTTCTTAACTTCTCTGTGGTTGGACGTGAAGGTTTTTTATTTCTGATACCATAACTTGTAACTGGATTTCGCTGAGCACGTCGGTAGCTCAGTCTTCGCACAGACCCCTGCCTGTTCCTTTGGGTGGACACCCTGTTCCCAGGGTGGCGGCCACACCGCCACCAGAAGTTTTGGAGGCTCAGTCTCACCCCCGAGCTGCACGCCATCATTTGAAAAGAAAAGTATTTCTCAGTTTGATACGGGAAAAAGTGTGTGCTGCTTGTGATTTCTCTTTGCTTTGTGCAGTGTGGTTGAGCGGGTCTTGTAGGGCTGTCAGCTGTTTTCAACACTGAGAGGAAGGAAGCCAGCCTTCCCGTCCATTTGTTACTGAGCCAGGTAGCTCTCTCTGTATTGCAGTTTTCTCAACTTTTGCCTTTCGATGCCTGTGTTGGGGGGACGGTTGTGGCTTTTGTGCGAGTAGATTATGGACGTTGGAGTCAGGAGGGGAGGCTGGTGTCTGCACTGTTGGTGAGAGGCGGGGACACGTGGGGATCCACGGGGGGTCAGGAGGTGACGTGCCCAGGGAGACGTGAGGCTGGGGTTGCCAGGGTGCCGTGAGTGCCGGCGGAGTTGGAGGAATGGGGTCACCTGTTCCAGGCCCGAAGACTCAGCAGTGACCCTCCCGTGTCCTTACAAGCTCACCTTGGGGGTGGGCGGGGAGACTTGTGATTAAATCAGCAAGTAACACACCAGTAGGCCTAGTAGCTGCCGCCGCCTGTGGTGGCCCACACGCTCACGCTGCGCTGTCGTGTCTCAGGCAGGAATCCACACGGGTGTGCAGTGCCCACGGCAGTACGGCCCACTGGCGTTTGTGCTCGGCGAGAGAACAACCAAAAAGCTGACGGAATCCAGCAAAGTGATAACGGTCGACGGCAACATATGCTCTGGGAAGAGCAAGGTCGCGAAAGCGATCGCAGAGAAGCTAGGTACGCCTGTGCCACGCAGAGCGGCCACGCGTCCTCGGGCGCACGGGGGCCTCTGTGGGCCAGTGTGCACTTCACGCCAGGTCTGGGTTGTGTAGAGCGGGACTGGGTAGAGCTGGGCTAAGGTCGGTATCTTAGGTTTTAAAAATATGTGTCAAAAAGCTGCTACTGATCATTTATACTTGGAGAATTAGAAAGCCCTCGCCACCCTTGGTCTGATGGGAGCTGTGGTCGGCTTGGTCGTGGACGTGGAGCGCGGCCCAGGCTCTCATGCCTGAGCTTCGTGTCCACTGCTGACACGGGCACGGGCGCCATCCCCACAGGAAGGTGCGCTCCACGTGGAGCTGGCGTCATGCGGCTGCTTGGAGCAGAGCCCGTGCCAGCTCGTGTCCTGCTCCGGGGCCAGTGTTTGCCCTCCTTGGGGTGCTGGGCCGGCACTTACCCGCCTGTACTCGGGGCTCCCGCAACGGTGGGAGGAGCTTGGACAGTGCAGCTCAGGAGCGGACATGCTTGACTCCTGCCCGTTTTAGATGTGTCCTCAGTGTCTTTGTGGTCCCTGGAGCCCTGTGAACACAGGCCTGTGGGTCACTGTCCCCAGCCAGCCCCACGCAGGCATTCCTGGTGGCTCAGTTCCTGGTAGTGCATGTGACTCGTGGGGTTGGGGCAGGTCTGCCTCTCCTCTCATGGGGCCCTGCCACCCCGCAGGCATGAAGCACTTCCCCGAGGCGGGGGTGCACTATGTGGACAGCACCACGGGGGACGGCCGGCTCCTGGACCTGGAACTCTCTGGCAACTGCAGCTTGGAGAAGTTCTACGACAATCCCAGAAGTAACGATGGCAACAGTTACCGCCTGCAGTCCTGGCTGTACGCCAACCGCCTCCTGCAGTACTCGGACGCCCTGGAGCACCTGCTGAGCACGGGTGGGTTTCCAGGGCAGGTGGCAGGTGTGGGGTCTGCACCTGAACGCTGCTCTGGAGCTCAGCCACTGCCGGTTGCCCCCAGTGAGCTGCTCCTTAGGGAGCCTGCTGGGCAAGCGTCCTCCTCCGTGAGGCTGTGACTCCCCAGGAACCATGTGATTGTTGCTCAGCATAACACGACTTCACGCTGTCCCGTCTCGGGTCCTGCAGTGAGACTCACGGGTAGCACTGGGTTCCTGTGGCGCCTGTGTCCACGCATTGGAGGAACAAAGAGCCTCCAAATGACGGGGTGGGGGTGGAGTCCCAGCCTCCAGGATGGGCCAGGGGGCAGGCGGAAAGAGGGCTGTCCCCCAGGTCCAAGGGCACTGGAAGCCAGCACCACACCCCGGGCTGGGAGTTAGCCTTTGGACGATGCTGGGGTGGGGAGAAAGCCAAGGGCAAGCCTCATGTGTGAGCAGCTGGGGCAGGTGCTGGGATGCGGTGGGCACCGAGACGGGAAACCAGGGGCTGGGAATGGAGACCCTTTTCCTATCAGTGACGCCAGGGCTGCCGCTGGTGGGAGGGAGCGGGGTGTGCTGTTGCCCCAGCCAGAGAGGTGGCGCTGCGGTGAGGGCGGCCCCACCGGAAGCGCACCTGTGTCCGTCCCAGGCCGTCTGGGATTGCAGACGCCTGGGCTCCTCCCCTCCGCAGATGGATGAGGGGCTGCTCCCAGCGCTTCCCTTGTCTTGTCCAACTTCCTGTTCTGCCCCTCCCACAGGGCAGGGGGTCGTGCTGGAGCGCTCCATCTACAGTGACTTCGTGTTCATGGAGGCCATGTACAAGCAGGGCTTCATCCGGAAGCAGTGTGAGTCCCACCACGGGCCAGCCCCGCTGCCAGCACGCAGGTGTCCGGTGCACACCCACTAAGCGGTGTGCAGGTGCTGAGACAGTTCCCTTTCTGTGGGTCTGAGCACCATCACCCAAGTTTGTCGCTTCGGGAAGTTTCCTCCTCACGACACTGCAGACCCTGCTTTGTTGGCCGTGCTCCGGTGTGGGCGAGGGCGGTGGTTGCATCCCAGCGCCCCACAGTGTGCTCTCAGGGGCCTCTGTGCCCGGGACGCCCGGTGTGGCCTTGTCCGCAGCAGCGGGTATGTCCTGAGTGCCACGGCCCTTTCTGGCGTCGTCTGCGTGGCGTGCTCTCTGGGATCGTGACAGAAGCAGCCATTCTGCGTAGCTGCAGGAGTTGGTCTAACTCACTGCAGTTGGGAGGGTGGTGACGCACTCATGGTTGTGTTCTCTGAGGGATGAGGGTCACAGAACGGGCTCCCTCCCTGGGGATCGTCTGTCACTACGACGGGGAAACAAATGCTGAACAGGAGGCGGGCGATGCCTTCCCATTCCAGGGACGCTCGTGTGGACCCCCCTTGCCTGGGAGGGACCGGAGGCCCTTAAGTGCATCCAAGACACACTTACAAATTTTAAGGCCCTCAAAGGCGGGTCGGAAGCCCACTACTCCCCTTTCTTCAGAGAAAGCGGCATGACCCCTCCAGGCCCGTGTCCCCGGGGACGGGTGGCAGGCACTGTGTGTGATGTGTGTGCTGGGGCGCCCGCCAGGCCACTGCGGGCAGGAGTGCAGCTGCACCGACCCCTGCTCCGGGTGTGGGTGGCAGAGCAGCAGGCGCCTGGCTCTGAGAACTGCGCGTGCCCTTGCTCTTGTGTGCGGGGGAGGAGCCTGGGGTGGACTGGCAGGCGACGGAGCCTCTCTCGTGTGGGCTAGGTGTGGACCACTACAACGAGGTGAAGAAGGTGACCATCTGCCAGTTCCTGCCTCCCCACGTGGCGGTCTACGTCGACGTGCCCGTTCCGGAGATCCAGAGTCAGATCCAGAAGAAAGGAGACGTGAGTCAGGCTCTTCCCGGGACCTGGCTCTTCCCGGGACTGCCTTGTCCCGCCGCACCCGGGCCAGCACCTCACAGCCGCATCCGCAGCGGGGGGCCTGCGCCAGTCCTGCTCTCCCCAGGGCTCTCCGTCCCCCGTGCTTGTGTCCCCTGGCCCGTCCTGCAGGACTGGCCCGTCTGCTGACAGTGCTGCCCTTGGCCACGACCATTTGCCCTCTAGTGAGGGGTCCGTGCCTCTTGTTCTCCCGTGAATCAGCACCAGCCTCTGGTGCCCCTCCCCTCTGTCTGATGTGAGTCCTCCTCTCCCCCGGCTGTCCGCCCTGACCCCTGACTCTGGAACGGTGCAGCGGTCACCTCCATACACTGCAGTCACTGCTGTGGTCATGGCTGAGACTGGGTCAGGTGGTGCTGCTGTGCAGGCGTGATGGGGACTCGGGGAGTCACTAATGAGGGCCCTGGCCCTTTGACCACTTCCTGTTGGGAGACGCTGCTCCTCCAAGGCACGTTTTCTGGGGGAGGGAGGACCTGCTTTCTGACACGGGCCAAGTTGGAGAAATCCTGCGTGGTCCCGAGGTCCCTTCTGATGCCCCCAGACCCCGACAGCACCCAGCACGTGTGGTGTGGAGGTGTCCGAAGGACACACTGTCTGTGGTGGCTTTGCTGCTTTGCACACCTGTAAGGCAGGCCACGTGACTCACCCCTTCCTCCCGCTCTGTGTAGCCCCACGAGATGAAGATCAGCTCCGCCTACCTGCAGGACATCGAGGACGCCTACAAGAAGACCTTCCTTCCCGAGATGAGGTGAGCCCAGTGGACGGCATGGCCCCCCGTGCAGGGAGCTGCCCGACTTGCCACTGGGCGCTCTGGCCCGCTCTCCATAAGCAGGAGCCACGGCGGGTGTTCCAGTGCTGAGTGGTGGGGTTTTGGTTGGTTGGTTTGCGTATTTTTGTCGGTGGTTTTTTTTGTCTTGTTACCACGTTCCGGTGCTAGAAGCCACATTGCACCAGGGTTTCAGCACCAGAGAACCCACATGTGTTTACCTTTCGTGGCAACCGAACGTGCACACTGACGGGGCAGGGGCGCAGGCCCTGGGGACCCCGAAATGAAGTCTTTCCCATCTTCCTTCGTTCTTTATTGAAATGAGATTGTATCCCAGTGACCTACCATTCAAGTGGTTCTCGAGAACCCGGAGAGTGCCGTCCGCTGGGTGGTGTGGGCTTCAACCGAGAGCAGACTGGGCCTGGGCAGGAGGTGCGGGCAGGGAGGGAGTGTGGGTGGCCGTGCAGGCCGTGTTACACGTGCACACGTGTGAGTGCCTCGCCTAGTCCTGACAGCAGAGCCTCCTGGCAGGAGGCGGAGCAGCTCCGGGCACAGCCACCGTTGGAGGCCCGTGGCTCGCAGAGACGGCGATGTCTGCCCTGTGGTACCCGGTCACTCACGGGGTCCAGGTCGAGTCCACCTTATACCTTCCTGGTGTTTCCTCTGGGGGTGCCTGTCCTGACTAGGCAGGCGCTCTGGTCCGGAGACCCGGATGGGATGATGTCATGTCGGGGTGTCCCTGGGACACTCTGCTGCCCCTGTCAGGAGCGGGGTCCAGCGGTTCTGCAGGGCTTGGCACTGCAGCGGCCTGCTCTGGGCGGCCTCGCCAGCCTCTGGCCTTGGAGTGGCCTCTGGTCTCCGTCTGGTTGGTCCCAAGGTGGTGGCCCGCAGCCTCCTTCATCTCCTAAGGCACAGACACACCAGCCTGGCAGGGTGACCGGGCCTGTAAGTGTGAAGAGGAAGTGGGCACGAGTGTGGGAGTGGCATCTTCTGTCCCCTTCTTTTGGGGGCCCCCCTGTGATTTCTCAGTGCCCCTTCTCTGAGGACTAAGGGAAGGAGTTGCTGTCTTGTGGCCCAGTTTGATCAAAACAGCTAGGTTCCATTCCTCTCTGAAATGCGGGTTCTGGCAGCCCGAGTGCTCTGGGTGTGTCTGCCGCCGCTCGGGCCTCAGTCCGTACGCACATCACAGAGACATCTGCCCGGCCCCTGCAGATGCAGCCATTCTGGTTTGTTGTGCCCATGGGCTGCGGGCATCGGGGAAGCCAGGGGCAGATCCACTGGCTTACGGTCCAGTCATGGGCACATTCCTGCTCACACCTTGTCCTCCTGACCAGGGCAGGGGGTGATGTGTCAGGATTGGTAGCAGGCGACCTCATGTCCGAGTGTCATTTGTGCAGTGACGGAAGCTCAGAAAGCTTACGTGGACTTTCCTCTTTCCTCACAGTGAGAAATCTGAAGTTCTGCAGTATAGTGGGAGGGAAGCCCAAGACGCAGAAAAGGTAAGAAAATGGCTGAACAGTTTGTGGCCATTAAGTTCGACTCGTGTGTGAGGGTCTTGCAAGTCAGATGGTCAGTCCCCTTCCCACAGGTCTGGGAAGGTCTGGGTCGCTAACCTGAGGGGTGTCCCCCATGTGCCACAGGCCCTGGGTTGGAGGCTGCAGTTTTCTTTGACGGGACTCCGGGTCTGTGACCTTGAAGCCCCAGGGTGGTAGGGTTGCACCGGGCCAGGCTGTCTGCTCCAGCGCTGAGTGGGGCAGGGCCGAGGCTGGGAGCTGACTTAGCCCCCGAGGAGGGGTCAGTGCGTCAAGGCGTCAGCACTCCCCAGGCTCGTAGGTGCGTCCTGTAGAGAGTTAGGTCTCACTGGAATTAGTAGCAGCCAAAAAGCCCGTTTTTTTCAAGAGCACCGCAGAAACATTCGCCACCTCCCACCACACGGAAACGTGTTCCACAGCAGCGGCAGCGGGGGTGCTCGTGGCGGCAGCGGTGGGTTAGTGAGCAGGCGGTGGAACAGAGCGGGGTCCGGAACGAGGGGTGTGTGCGCTCGCCTGTACGTGTACCGGCCTGTGTGTACCTGCACGTTTGTGAGGTTCTTGGTTTGGTAAAGTCGGTATTTTACAGGATAATGAAAAAGTAGAGGAAAACGGGTTATTTCTTGAGGCAGTTGACCATTCATTTTGGTCAAAACAAAACAAAACAAAACACCCCGTATCTTCTGTAACATGTTAAGTGTGAATTTCTTAAAAAAAAAAAAAAAAAAAAAAAAACAATAAGTACAAGAATCTTAGAAGGAAAGCCAGGCTCTGTGGTCTGGGCGAGGGCCGTGCCGCAGGTTTGGGTGGGGCGGCCCTTCCAGACGTGGCCAGCAGGTGCCAAGAGTTGTCCCGGCCGGTCCTTCTGCTGTGCACGGTGACGCCGTTCCCTCCCTTCCAAGCCCTGTGTGTCTGCGCTGCCGGTTTGAAACCTGCCGGCGGTTTCTGCGTCTTTGCTGAGGTCACTGGGAGGCGGGGGAAGATGATGCACTTTAGCTCTGAGACTGCCATTGGCTGAGTTCACAGCTGGATATTTTCAAATCCCCGGAACTCGGGCGAGTTCTCTGAGTTGGGGGTGTCTGGGGACCTGAAGGTGGCCCTCGGGGCCAGGCTGCCCAGCCTCGGCTTTGGGGCTAAGAGCCTGAGTCCTGTGCCTCTCTGGGAAGTGCGTTGACTGTCTCATTCTTCTGTAGCTCATGGAGTGAAGTCACTGTGGGGAGTCACTCGCCTGTCCCAGGTGCTGGTCTCCCTGGCCAGCCTCTTCTTACCTGCTCCTTCCTCCCAGACTGTCGGGTGGCGCCTGCTACCCGGCATCTGCTGGGCAAGGCCCCCGCCTCGAGGGGCACCCCTCAGTCCCCTGCCACACCAAAGGCCGCCTTGCCTGGCCACTGCCTTTCTCCCTGACCTCCGTAGCGGCGTTCCTGCTGCCCACGTGTGTCACAGTGCGTCGCTTAAACTCCCAAGGAGCTTCGCCCTGACATTAGAACCCTCCCGTCCAGGTGGTGGAGGACATCCAGTACCTCAAGTATGACAAAGGGCCGTGGCTCAACCAGGACGACCGCACCTTCCACCACCTGCGGATGCTGTGAGTGCCGGGACACTGGGGACAGCGGGCAGGGGGCCGGCGTGGAGCCGGGCATTGCCTGCTCTGCGCCTGATGGATTGGGGGAGGTCAGGTGTTCGCAGCACCAGCCTGTACTGGGACGGGCTTCCTTTCCCTCCCAAACGGGCTCCTGCCCTCTCTGGTCTGGTAGGGGACTAACTGATGGCAGGACTGATTCCGCAGGTACTTCGCCTTCACCGCCTGCCGGGCGCTGTGCCAGGCTTAGGGGACCCCTTCGGAGACGGGCTTTGTGGGGAGTGAGAGCACCCCAGTTGCAGACCGGTGTTGGTGGCCAAGGCTGGGAAGAAGGCCACCCTGAGTAATGGTGCAGCGCGTGGCGGGGGCTGCTGTTGGGGGAGGTGTGGGGGAGGCCTGTCCTCTGACGAGGCCCGAGGGACGCAGGACTGTGATGGTCGGGGTGAGCACGGGGCAGGGCGCTGGGGGGGCGGGTGTCACGTGTGCCCCGCAGCCCAGTCCCGGTGGTGGGAGCAGAGGGGACTGCAGGAAGGAGGTGACCTGGTGAGGAGGGGTGAGGGACCCGAGCAGGTGGCGGAGCGAGGGGGGAGGTTGGCATTGCAGTTGCTTGTGACAAAGCAGGGGCTGAAGCCTGGCCCACAGTGCGGGCACCCTGGCTGCCGCACCACGGCCCCTGCGGCCGCCGTCACTCGTGTCACTCCCGTGTGCTCTTGCAGCTGCCCTGGGCGACGGGCTGCGTGGGTCTGCGTGCCCTCAGTGTCGTGAGTGTGTCTCCAGCACCCAGTGTGGGAAGTTTCTGTTTACATACGGCTCTTCGTGTCCGCCCTGTGAACCTGTGGACCGGGGTTCCCGGCAGGGCAGCCAGCGGGGCCCCACCCTCAGCTCTGCTGAAGGGCTCCTGCCGCCATGAAGGGCAATAAGGAGAAGGCCCGGGGGACCACGGCCTTGCGTGGGCCTCGAAGCCCAAAGCCCATCTGGCCCTTCCTGAGAGAGTTGCTGCCCCCAATGCAGCGCAGCTCACTCCGTGTCTGCGACGCCCGTCCTCCTCGCTGTGTTTACTTACGTTCACATCGCAGTGATGGGCAGCTGTGCTGTCCGGTCCCCTCCCAGGCTGCACCTCCACACACGGCGGCGTGGTTGGTTCCACAGGGAGCACCGTGGCTGGTCTGCGAGGTCCTGGTTTTGCACCAAAGAAAATTACTTGTTTTCTGTTGCGCTTGTAATCATTGAACCTCAGACGGTGTTTTTATTAGCTACTTACTTGTTTTTTGTTCTCTTCATGTTTATCCACTTTTTTGGAGAATCAGCTTTTTGTTTTGTTGATATCCTCGTTTTCAGGCCATGGTTCCTTCTCCAGTTTTTATTCTTTTTAACCTGCGTCCTTTCGGTGTTGGCTGCTCCTCTCGGTTGCTCCTGTAGCCGAGCGGCTGTTGCATTTGCTGGCGTGTGCGTCCAGTGCTGCGTGTCCCCTCCGGTGCCCTTCCGCTGTGGTCTGAGGACGCGCACTGTGTGGCCTCTGCTCTGTCGTGTGGGTGGGACGTCTGATGGGGTCAGGCGTCCCCTCTGTCCTGACCAGTGTCCCAGTTGAGCAAAAGGAGGGGGGCCCCACTGCTGATGCCTGGGGGTGCCATGCCTGGGGCTGCGTGGGCGGAGGGGCAGTGGTCGGCCCCCAGGTCCTCCCTGGGGTCCTGTCTGCCAGACGTCCAAGACCGAAGGATGTGCTTTGGCCCAGGCGGCGGTCTGTCTGCTTCTCTCCCGAGTCCTGTCCGCCTCTGCCCTGTGCGCCTGGTGCTGAGCTGTTAGGCACGCACGCGTCCGGTGGTTCTATCTTCCTGGGGGACGGGCTCACTGACCACTGCACAGTGCTCCTCTGACCGGGACAGTTACTCCGGCCCTGGCGTCTGCTCGTTGGGGACGGGTGCGCCTGCTACAGCTCTGGCCAGTGTGACTCTTGTCTGTCTTCCCCCACTCCTGACGCTGACCCCACCCAGCCTCGGTGTTTATGCTTCTCATCAGCACACGTGGGGTGAGGGTTCCAGCCTCCAGATGCCTCACTTGCAGCTGACACTGGAGTCCTCTTAGTTTCCTAAAACTGTACCTAACTTTTTTTTGGTGGATCCTTACGTCACGCATGTGTCTTTGTATATGGACCTGAATGGTGTATGCACAGTGTCATCCTGAACCTGGCTTTAAAAGTCCACATCCTTCCTCTGACCTTTGACCGCTGGGTAGTGGTCTGCCTCCAGGCCTGAAGCCCCAGGGCCTCGGCCACAGTCATGGCAACAGGTCAGCGTGGGCCGGAAGGTGTTCCAGAAATCCTCTGGGCTCCCCAGCTCTGCTGCCCGGTGGGAAACACGGCCACACTACAGTGGCCCAGAAGGTGCGCCTGTGGCCGAGCACAGCCACCACCTTGCCCTCCCTCCTCTCGGCGGCTCAGGCCGAGGTCCCAGTGGGATGGAACTTCGTGCGGCTGGCACCTGTTAGACCCCGCCTTTCCCTGCTGGTCCCTCACCGTCCCCTGGGTCCCACACGGAGGTTTGTCCCCGGTGACTCCTTTCCCTTTGGTTTTCTGTCACTGCCCCCGCTGCTGCGGAGGCTCGAGCCCTTATTCTGCAGCCGTGTAGAGCGAGGCAGTGCTGTGTGAGCTCAGGAGTCCCGGTTTCACTTCCCAGAATCCAGGCAGGGTCCTAGTCCCTCTGCTTGGCCCTTCCGTCGAGTGCCCTCCCCCACCTGCCCGGTCAGGACCCGGGAACCCGCGTGTCCTTCTAAGCCTGGCTGCAGGCGCCTTCGCTTTTCCTGGAAACCTCCTCTTATCTTTTCTAGGCTGTGGCCTCACGTGTGACTCTGGTTAGTGTCGGTCAGCTCCTGCTGGCAGACGGCACGACATGCCGCCTGAGAGGGGGTGTCTCCCGACATCCTGCCCGGGCGGGGCCGCGTGGGTCACTCCTGCCGCTGCTGCTGTGCTGTCGTTCCGCAGACGCGATCGTGTGTTGATTTGATTCTAGGTCGTGCCCAGGATCTTCTGTTGAAGTTGTCGTTACAGCGTCTGTGTGTGCGGTCGGTGGCTCTCAGAGGAGAAAGCCCCTGTAATTCCCACAGAGCTCGCAGCTACGACACGCAGTCGATCCTTGTAGCGCACTTCCCAGAAACGCTCCTGTCCGCTCCTCCTCCCGGTGCTTGCTCCTCCCCCAAGGACGGTCCACTGTCCACTGTGGTGATTGTGTGTGTTCGAGTTCCAGTCCCATTTCTAATTTGGGGGCTCGAGTGAAAATTACGACCAATTTTCTCAGATAATTGCTGTAAACGTGCCATTTACTTGCTGCCCTCATTTTGTCCAGAACTTGACCAAATTACCGGTTCAGAGTACTTGCGTGCCGTCTCAGCTGCGTGTGTCGGTGTGTAATTGTGTGTGTGTGTGCTTGTGCTGAGCACCGGCTGTCTTCCGCATTGAAGGAATGTGGTGTTCGCAGCCTCCACCCACAGCTGACCGGCGCCTGCACGTCGGCCGTGGCCGGCCCCCCTCCCCGCTGCCCCAGCAGTGCCGTGAAGCCCAGAGCACGTCTCTGATGTGGCCCAGTGCCCGGGGAGCGTTCTGGGGAGATGGAGACACTCTGTTGATCGGGGGGCTGTTTGAGTCCCAGGATGGACGTTGCTGTCTTGCTCTCTCTGTCTTTCCCCGCCTTGCTCTTTCTAAAATGCCGCGTGGCCCTCGTGCTGTGAGCCCGACTCGTGTGCGTTCTGTCTTAGGTGGGCGCTTGGGCCCATGGCGTGTGGGGCTGCACCGCATCCGCCGGCGTCTGAATCCTCCCGAGTGACGCCGAGGGTCCTCTTGCTCGCTGCTTCCTCACCCCGACCTGCAGTGGCCGCAGTGGTGAGGGGTGGGCGTGGGTGGCAGGGCACCGGGGCCGGAGTCGGCATCCTGGCCCGACGCCACACAGGTTGTGAGTGGCTGTGTGGTGTTTTTTCAATCTGTGCCCAACGGTTCGAAGCTGGCTTGCTGGGCTGTGTCCTTTTGGGGAGGTTCCGGTGGGTGTAATTCTGCCTCCCCGAGCACAGGTGGCGCTGTGGCGCTGTGCTCCACTCACGGTCCCGGCCAGCCAGCGCTTCAGATTGTGCAGAAGTGTTCCAGGGTTTTGAGCTACAGAGAAAAGCAAGCCACGCCCGCCTTGTTATTTGTTAACATTTAAAAATACCAACTTCGTTTTTAGTTGAAATCGTTTATGGTAATATCACGTTTGCAATTTGTCCTGTACAGTAAGAATAGCGGAGCCTTATTTGTGTTAAAAATGAAAACGGGTGTGTTGACACATCAGTAACAGAACTGACCTGTAACCGCCCTCCCGTTAGGGCGGGAGCCCCATCCGAGTGCGCACTGCGGCCCGGCCTAGGGTCAGTGGCTGCCTGAGCCTGGGCCCTTGGGGGGCGAGCAGTGGCCCTGGCAGCACCGCTGGGGCGATATCTGGTTGCAGGCTGATGTGGCTTCGCTGGTGACACCCGGGTGTGTTTCACCTGCTGCCCAAACTCGCCTTCTGCCTGCCACGGGTTCTGCAGGTGTGGGAGCAGGGCCTGGAACCGATGGTGCTGCCGGGTGCAGGGGCAGGTGTGGCCTGGCCTGGTCAGGTCGGACCCGGCTTGCAGAGTGGAGGGGAGCCGGCGGCGGGCAGCACTTCCCTGGGGCCGCTGCAGAGCCGTCCGCCACTCTAGCTTGTAGCGGGAAAGTGGCCACTTAAACCAGTGGTTTTCTTTGTTTTGGGCCCTTAAGAAAGGAGACTTTGTTTTAATGTTTCTTTTTAAAAACCCTGAAAATGCTTTTCATCTTTGAGTATAGTGGTTATGTTCAGACTAAATTTGAGCAAGTTATAACTAAGCATAAATATTTTAGCATCTAGCAAAACAAGACGGGGGAACAAGGACAGGCCCTGTGGCTGGTGCTTCCCGGTGCCGAGAAGGGCCACGGGCTCCACCTTCTCCAAGTCACGACTCCGCAGCCTGTCCCGGGTGGGCCTTCGGCCCCCCCCCCCCACTCCGAGTCTGAGAGCCGGTCAGCTTCGAGGCAGGCTTGACGCCATGCTGTGAACCTAGAGGGATCGCCTGACTCCGGGCTCTTTTCCGTAGGATTCAGTCATTTTGCAGGTTTTTAACAACACTGTGCTTGGCGTTTGTTTTTACTCCTTATTCCTGCTGTTTTTATGTTTGAAGCAGCTGTGGCTTTTGTTTCATGTTTCCAAACTGTATTCATTTCCAAATTCGGCCACTGAGGCTCTTGAGAGGCCGCAGCCGGGGGCGCAGGCTCTGCAGAAGGGTGGCCCGCAGGCCCGCTGTCCGCGGCGCGAAGCCACGCTGAGGGAGGGCTGCTGGGGAGTGGGTGGCACCTGTGTGGACACGTGAGTGTTTTAGCGTGGCCGTGCTCACACCCAGCTCTGTGGTGCAGCATGAGCCTTCTCTGTCCCCTTTCGTAGGGTTCAGGACAAGCTGCAGGTGCTGAATTTCACCACCATTCCCATCTATCTCCCGGAAATCACTGTTGGCGCGCACCAGAGTGACCGGATGTTCCGAAGGTTCATGGAGGTGAGTTCTGCCCCGGGTGGGTCCACAACCCCTGGTGGCCGTGCCGCTCCTCTGAAGAGCGGCTTTTGCTCGCTGTGTCTGACTTGTTAGTGAAAGAGCCTTCTCTTCATTGAAACGGTTCTCCTGTGTCCCCTTCCCTGGTCTGCGAGGCTGTCGTGTCGCGGGGCCTGCCAGGGCCAGCCGGGGGCAGCGAGGTGTCCTGGGCGGGGCAGGCAGCAGCCATCCTCGTCGTCTATCCTCTCGGTGGGCAGGTGTCCCTGCTCCTTGGGCCTCATCGACATTTCCCCACAGCCCATTTGACTTGGGGGCTGGCTCTTCATGGCCCCTGCCCCTCGACTACAGGACGGGGCAGGGGGTCTCTGCAGGGGGGTGCAGTGTGGAGGGCGGGGACCTGCGTGTGAGGCACTCACCGGTGTGAACACAAACTGAGTGGTGAGCAGCTCGAGTGTCCTGTGGGCACCAGGCTCACGGCCCGTGGAGGTCCAGTGGCCTCTGTTGTGACGTCCGTTCTGCCCCCAGGGGTGGCAGCAGGCACAGCCGTGTGCAGACAGTGGGCCCCATTCCCGAAGCCATCAGTGGCTGGATCCGCCCCGCACTGGGCTCCGAGCCTGGTCTGGATCCCACAGGGAAGCCCTGACCCCCACCAAGGACAAGCAGCAGCGTAACCCTCGGGTCCAGCCTCTCACACATTAAAGGTTTCGCTTTCCCAGTGCTCGGTCAGCAGCTCTCTGTGGGCCGGCCTGTGTTTTCCTCCAGCTGGCAGTTCCACTGCGAGGAGTTCATCCCGAGCCCGTCCGAGGGCCGCTCCTCCCCAGAGAGCAGGGTGGTCGGTCGCTCAGTCAGGCTGCACCGCAGGCCTCACTTGGGAGGCCTGGGCAGGTGCTGGGCCGGGCAGCCAGGAGCAGATTTGGGAGCCGGATGCTGCCGGCCGTGTCTAGAGAACACACGGCAGAGCCAGGGAGGGCCCCCACGCCCAGGGCCAGAGCTGAGGGGATGAAGGGTGGCGGCTCCTTCCGAGAGCAAAGCCCTCCCTAAGCTCCCCTGAGCCATGGCTCCTACTCGCCCCTCCTGGGGACCAGCAGCTCCGTGAGGGCCCCAGGGCAGCGCCTGCTCAGGGTGGTCCTTGGTCCTCTCCCTGGTCCACGCTGGGTCAGAGCCCTAGGTGGCTGCTTGTGCCCTGGAGGAGAACCTGGAGGGTCTGTGGCCTGCTGGGCTTTCTCCTGAAGTGGACTTGGATCTTTAATGGACAGCGGACCAGGGTGGGAAGGGACCTCCTGAATGTGTCTAACGGCCGACCCTGGGCACTCAGGGTTGTGAGCAGGTCTTCCCCGCCCTCCCCACCCTGCGCAGGCAAGGGGGTGCCAGGGGCCTGCGCCCCGCCACTTAGCAGCAGGTGCCCCCACTCCTCCTCTGCCTTTTGGGGTTTTTTTGTTTGTTTGTTTTTTGCTTCTATAACACTTGGTAAGTTATTTTTCCTGTCATTTTTACAGAATGTTATATGGAGCTGGATAGGTAATAAAGAGGGTTTTTAATAAAGAGGGTTTTTAAGTTATTCAGAATTAAAAAAGACGTTTTACTCTGCAAGAAGAAGACATTCAAGGTTAGAATGAAGTTTGTCTGGAGGCACCAGAGAACCAGACCTGGAGTAAGACGGGGGCCTGCTCCGTCCCTCGTGAGGACCAGAGGCACGTGCTGCAGAGGCGCTGGGCAGCCCTGTGCCCGGCCTTCTGGAGGCAGGCTTCGTCCACCAACAGTCCCCGCCGGGGTGGACAGGGCGGCCGGGTTCCAGGAGCTGAGGGAGGAAGGAGGCAGAGGGAGGGGCCCAGCCTCCTCCACGCGTGCTGGGGACGTGTGCGGTGGCAGGCGGCCGGACCCAGGGGAGTGCAGCATTCGGGGGAAGGCCCGGTGGCTGGCACTGTCCCCAAGTGCTGTTCGCGGTGGGGGAAGGTGCCAGATGCTCTTCTTGGTGCTTTGGTGCGTTTGCCCACGAGGTCTGGAGAAGTGAGCAGCGCAGTGGGCAGCGAGGTGAGGAGCCGCTCTCTCTGTGATCCTGGGGGACGGGTGCGGCCTGCTCCACTGTGACCCGCCCGCCCTTGATCTCTGTGGCCTTAGAGGAGGGACCTAAGGGTCCCGACCTCATCTGTGGCGCCAGAGGCCCGGTGAGCGGCGCCCCGGAAGTCCAGAGCAGATGTCGTGGGCCAGTTACCAGAGGCCAGCCATGCCTGGCAGGTCCCATCTGCGGCTGGTTTTCATTCCCTGTGGTCGAGAAGTTTGTGGTCAGAGCAAACCGTGGCCTGTGTGGCCCGGCCCCCAGCGTCAGGTGGGGGACCTGTGACCTGAGCCTCCTGGGGACACAGACCGAGGGTGTTCAGAGCTGCTGGTGGCTGGAGCACATCTGCTGCGGCCGTGGGGCGGCTGGAGAGCCCTTCAAGGCTCTCACCGGGGCGTGTGGCTGTGCCTTCACACCAAAGGGCCCCCCCCCCCATAGAGGGCCTCTCGCCCTCCAGCCCGAGTCCCAGCTCTGTCCTTGGCTCCCACTCCGCACAGGCTCGCCCCGTGTTCCCGTCTCAGAGCTGCAGGCCCCACACGAGCTCCCTGGGCCGCTGCCACCAGCGCCCAGACCGAGTGTCCCACAGCCTGGGGGCCCAGGTGCAGCCGGTGTCAGCAGGCTGGGTGCTCCTCAGGCACCTCCAGTTCCCCCATGTCCTCACCGTAGCGTGTCACCCTCCTGACCCTGCGGCACCGGGTGGGGTTGCGCTTGCAGGCCCACCACCCACGGCCACGCAGAGGCCTCCGGCGTGGGGAGTGCGGGGGCGGACTGGGGGCCGCTGTGGGCTGAGCTGATGGTGACTGTGGCCGCTTCCCTCCACAGCTGCCAGGCCGCCAGTACAGCCCCGGGTACAACGCGGACGTGGGTGACAAGTGGATCTGGCTGAAGTGACGGCGCCTCAGCAGCGCCGTGGCGTGGCCACGAGGAGGCTCCGGGCCGTGCATTCTTGGGACTCCTCCTGCTTCAAAATCGGGGGAAACGATCAAAACTCGCTCTGCGGAAGACCCCTCAGTGTTGTTGGGGGTGGGAGGGGGCGTCTTCTGCTCCAGAGGGCTCCCCGCCGTCGGGCTGTGCGTGGACCGACTGGTGACTGTCACTGGGGGGTCTGCCGGGTGACCAGGCTCGGCTGGAGGCTGTCACATCCTTGCTCAGGGCCCCGTCATGCGGGTTTGCACGCTGCTGCTTCCGACCTTGACAAATAAACGGCTCTGAGACGCCTGTCTCGGTACACGCGTGTGTCGGGCCTGGGCTTGCACTCAGCTCGTGCGCAGCCCTGTTTGTGGACCAGCCCGCTCACCCCTGCCTGTGAGGTGGTTCAGCGTCACTCGGGTGTGTGCTGAGGTTGAAGCACTCGTTCCGTTTGCTCCGACCATCAACCATCGCTGGGAGAGAAGTGAGGAGGGGACGCTGAGGGATGGTGGAGGCTGTCGTCAGTTGCCGGACTGCCGTTCGGGTGGCAGCCCCTGTGGACGTCTTGGGTGACGGGCCTGTAGCCGTCCTCCGTCGGGGGTGGGGAGCAGGGTACGGGTCGGCGGGATAAATCACAAAAGCAAAAGTGTAGCCCTCGCTGCCTCAGACCGGCTGGTTCGCCAGAGAGCGGAGAGGGGGGACCCTGTTCCTCACTCACCCCCACTAACCAGAGCCCGGGGCACGGAGTCTGCCCTGTGGGCTGGTCGTGTCGGCTGCTCGCTCCGAACTGCAGCATCCATGCAGTAGCCCCAGCTCCGTGTGACCAGGGGGTTCAGTGGGTCACAGGGCAGCTGGAAGCCCAGGTCCTTGGCTGCCCTGACCACAGCCCTGGTGCAGCCCAGTGACCGCAGGGCCAGTGGCTTCCCTTCTCTCTCTCTCTCTCTGTCTGGGTTTTAGGAATTGAAAATAAACCTTCCCAGCAGTGTCGAGTTGGAGTGCAGATCTTGGAGGCCAGGGGTTTGGGTTTCCCCAGAAAGGAGCGCAGTTAATGACTCCTGGGTGGGAGCAGGCAGCCAGGGGCGCGGCCGGGTCAGCACTGCCCGGAGCCATTAAGGAGAAAGAAGAACAGAGCACCCACCCGTAATTGCCTGGCTGTTCTGTCTCAGGAGGTGAGCCAGCTCCTCCCTTCACACCTCGGGTCCTTAACAGTGGGGGTGGGGAGTGGGCAGCCTCGGGTCAGCCCTGCGTTGGGGGAGGGCTCGTGGGGCTGCTGAGACCAGCACCGGTGCCTCCCGCTGCCGGTGCGCCTGCCCCATGGGCGCCTGGGCGTGTGGCTTGTGCCTGGTGCGAGGCAGCTTTGTCGCTCTTGTTTCCTGCTGTTTTCTTTCCTGTGAGGGTCGGGCAGAGAGAAGCAAATAAATACTGTGCCAGTCTCTGAATAGACACCTGAGAGCCGAGGCGGTGGCCCAGAGCAGGACAGACTAGGCTCCCAGGAGTGCTGCCGACCCCCAGACAGATGGCCTGTGGGGACGTTGCGTGTGGGGTGCGCGAGGCCTGGAGACTCGGGCCCCGCCCTCGTCTCCACGCTGCAGCTCCTTGTCTCCCGGCCTCGGGGTCCTGCACTGAGCAGAAAGCACTGGCTGTTCTGTCCCGTGAGGTTTGGGGGCTGCAGCTGCTGGGAGGGCATTGCAGACCGTCGGCTGCGTGCACTTCAGCACAGCAGGGCCGCCCGGGGCAGCCAGTGGCCCGCCCAGCCTCACTGGCCCAGCCTCACCGCCCCGCTGCTGCCTGCCGAGCGGCCTCCAGCTCAGCCTGTTGTGCCGACCAGGGGTGCGGTCAGCACGGCGGGTCAGCGGCTGCCCCTTGAAGAGCAGGTGTCCGTCCACACGGCTCCGGCGAGACCGCTGTCAGTTGAGCCCAGGTGTCAGGCCCAGCTGTGCGCACGGAGTCCGAGGTGGTCTTGGGTCTCGCCTGCCGAAGCCCGTGGCTGTGCTGGGCCTGGCCCGGGGGGACTGGGAGTTTGTAGTGGCTGGACTCGGGGTTGCTGGTCTCGGCAGCACGTGCCCCTGGGGGGGGGGGCAGCTGCTGCTTCGTGAGAACAACACCTGTGCTGCCCGCCAGGTGCAGGTTGGGGTTCGGCTGGGGTGGGCGGGCGAGTGCAGGGGCTGTTGTCCGTGGGGGTCTGTGTAGAGCTCAGTGACGGGGGCGGGGCCCAGGATCCGGGTGGGGTGTCTGCAGAGCAATGAGCCTGGAGCCCGGGCTCCGGTGTGTCACCGAGGAGGGCGCGTGTCCCGGGAGGGCTCGCTGCCCGTCCTCCTGAAGCTGCAGCCTGTGTGCGGTCCTCGGGCCTCTGTGTCCGGGGCCCTGAGATCCGCAGGCCCCAGTGGTCCGCCCCAAGCCCCCAGGCCGTGTGGCCCCGTCTGCAGGGCGCTCCGCAGGCTCAGCTCAGGCTATTCTCCCGGAGGGCGGGGCGGGGAGCAGGAGAGCGACTTTCCTTTGTCTGTACTGTCGACTGAGGAGGCCTGGGACTCCCACTGAAGAGCGGTCTGGCCGGCTGCGTGGGGGGCTCCAGGCTGGGAGGGGCTGGGGGTCGTGCGTCTGGCGTCTGGACCTGGGTCCCCCAAGGAGACCCGGTCCCGGTCCAGCGAGAAGCTTCTGGACGCCGGCGACGGGGGCTTTGTGGGGACGCACGTCCTGCCGTCTCCAGGGCAGTGGCCCTACTCTGGGGGCTTCCGTGAGATGCATGCAGGGCCACTGTCATCGCCATGCGAGACTCCCCTGTCACAGCTCTCGGGAGGGACAGCAGGGTGCCACCCTCCTCAGCCAGCATGGCCGTGCCCATCTCGCTGGAGCGGGGCCCCGGGAGACGCCCCTGCCCTTTGCTGTCCCCATCCCGGAGCACCTGGGCCTCCAGGAGAGGTTGGCACTGGGGCTGCAGGGAGGGCCGGCAGGCAGGAGGGGCCCACAGACGAGATCACCGGGCCGTTCTCAGAGCTACGCTGATGGGGTCTTCGTTCCAAGTGGGATGACCGCTCCAGCAGGTGTGTGACCACTCCCAGGGTGTGTGACCACTCCCAGGGTGTGTGACCTCTGCAGCCAGGTGTCGGCTAGGCCACGGGGAAGGACGCCTGGCCCCACGCGGCTGGGTCTCGGGAACCGGGCCCTGCGAGCTCCCCACCTCTGAGAACCAGGAGGGCCCTCGGGCCGTCACAACACTTTGCTGTGGCTGCTGGTGTGGAGGCAGAGGGGCGTCCGCTCCAGGAAACTCACTCCGGGGCGGGGTGCAGCTGTGCGGGCCGGGCTGGCCAGGGGAGTCAGCTCCTCGGTGTGGATGGACGGGGACACCTCTGCCCCTGGGAGACTCGGTTTAACGACCGGTTCGGCCCTCTGTCCCCCCGGCACCCTCAGCCGCAGGCGGCAGCCTGGGTTCTGCTGGCCGGGACCCAGGTAACGTCAAGGGCTGCAGAAGAGTCCCAGAAACCTGAAAAATGTGGGACAAGGGAAGAGACTGTTCAGTCAACCAAAACAGAGATGCGGTTTCAGGGCCCTGGGCAGAAACCAGAGACGCAGGAGAAGCGTGCGTCAGAAACCCAGGGTGGCGAAGACCGGGGCGGGGCCCCGGGGAGGGGCTGCACCCAAGTGCGCGCCACGCGAGCTCGTCTGCGGACGGCCGCCCAGAGTCACAGTGGCGTCCAACCTCGGCCCAGCCATCACAGTGTCACTTAGCCACAGCCTTCAGACTGAGGCGGGGACGGGCCACGGTCACTTCATGTGGGAGATGGAAATGGGCGTCTCCGACCGGCAGGAGGCACCTCCGTCGGCCCACGTCTGACCACGGAGACGAAGACGTCCTGCCGTGGTGTCCGGGGGTCTCACGGCCGGTGGTGGTCCCGCAGTGACACTCGCATGGACCCCGCACACGATCACAGAGCACCGACCCGGACACCACTCGAGATGTCGTGTGACCGCCAACACAGCAGCAGTAAAACCGGAAGGAGCGTGTCGCGTGTGCTTCAGAAGGCCAAGTTCTGGCTGTGTTTCTGGGTGGCTCTCGGTGGCAACGAGGACCGGACACGAGGGCCCGGACGTGCCGCAGTCGAAAGCGTCCTCTCAGAACTGCCCTTGGGGTGGTTTCCACTGGAGCCGGTGATTAATCGCTCCACGGCAACCAAATTAGAAAAGTCTAAATGATTTCGGTAGAGAAGCCAGTAGCTGTGGTCCTGGGCCCTCAGAGGCAGCGTCCCTGGCTGGCGGACAGTTCGGAGGCTGTCCACTGCTGCCCTCAGGCGGTGCGGACACGGGGCCCGCAGGGGGCCTTCCAGGGGTGGGGGCAGGGCGGGACCCCCCGGGAGCTCCGGGGCCCTGGGCCGGGCACGGCCAGCTGGTACCGGTCTCACGGGAAACCCGAATGGGCAGCCGGGGAGGGCCCATGGCTCCGTGTACGTTCTCACATCCGAGCAGGCGTGTCCGCCGCGGACCATCTCCACGCAGAAGAGCAGAGGCTTTCGTTGCTGTTGCTTCCCTGTGGGCGGTGCTGTGTGTCAGGCAGGCCCTATGTGCGGGAGCCACCAAGGACAGAGGCACGGCCCTCCCTTCCCGGGGACGCCTTCCACACCCACCCAGGCGGCTCAAACCCTTGGCCTGGGTGCACACGAAGCCCCGCTGGGACTGGCCAAGTGCAGGCTGGGAAGCTGGGTGCTCAGATAGGGCCCACGCGCTCATGGACGAGCCTGGGACACGCTGTCTCCCACCCAGACTCCCCCCACCCCACCCACACACACCGTCCCTGCCTCCCTGGTCCTCACTGCCCTCCGTGGTCAGCCTGCATGTGGGCGAGACCTTCTGCCCCCTCTCTGCCCCCTAACCTGGCCCGACTGTGCTTATCTCTTACCCATGGCCTGTGTCTGCCGTGTGAGTCAAGTTTGAGCGTGGAGCCTCCCTGTGGGGTGGGGTGGGGTGGGGTGGGGTGGGCGTGGAAGCGCCTCCAAGTGTCCTCGCCCGGCGCTGCAGAGCCTCACGCAGCCACGCAGGTGCACGAGGCCACACGGCCCTCCTGTCTCGGGTGCACAGCAGCGTCTGCTGGCCGCTTCCAGCTCTGTCCCCAGGGCCCCTGTGCTCGGCGCAGGAGTCCCCCATTCTCTGACCCTCAGCCCCAGCAGAGGAAGCCTAGGGTTGCTCCGCCAGGGCTGGCCAGGGGCCCTCCCTCCACCCTTTCTTTCCGGGGTCAGCAGCCCCAAGAGAGGGACGTGCAGCTGGGAGGGGTCCGTCAGCAGCAGAGCGGCCAGCCAGGAGCCCGGTCCATCGGTCCTCCGATGGCCC